GGTCATTTACGTTTTCTAGTATAAAGAGCCGTAATTATAATACTTAACGCTATAATAGTTACAGAAAAATTTATTAACCTCATATATATATAAATATATATTAAACAATTTTGACCATCAAAGACATTCTTACTATGTAGTTACATAAAATAGCAAATTCGATTATTTATATATATAGCAAAATAGTTAAATACAATTCACTATGTATAATAATTTGTTAAATTCTTATTATAATTTTAATTTATCGTTTGAATTATTGTATCAAGTACTAAAAGGAATATATTAATAAAAAAGAAGAAATTGTATTATATAATAAAAACATAATGGTAAAAACAACATTTTATTTAAGAGTCTAATTTAATAAATTTTTTCTATTTAAACGAACAAGAAAAAAATGGACTTTTTTGTTATATGAAAATAATTTTACCTATCTATTTCATGAAATATAACCTATATATAATTATCAATGAAATCTAAGAAAATTCTAATACGATTCTTTTCTATTTTAACCTTCCAAATTATTTACAAAAATATACGTTTGTTGAATGAAAGAAATATTAGGTTTACCCCAATTTATTTAAATTTATATTTATTTCCGTATAAATATATTGTATAATTATTATATAATTTCAAATATATAAAGCTTTTGAATATTAGAAGTCCATCAGAATGTTTTTCTAAAAAACTTTAAATAAGTTTTAGATATTATTATTATTATTATTAAATATTATTAATCTTATTAATTTGTATCAAAATACGAATATACATTGAACAAAGAAAATATACAACATTTCGTAAACATTTTTCATTTGTAATAAATGTTTCTTACAATTGTATAAAAGAATACATGCTTGGTAGAAATAATTCATTACATAATGTATAATATAATAATATAATATAATAATAGGGTTTAGACAGTATTAGAAAAGTAAAGCATGATTTGAATCTCGCTAGTTGGAAGGTGAGCAATTTTACAAGTAGTAATCTATAAAAACGTTGCTCGAAAACAGCGATCGATTCTAAAGTCTGTCGCCTTAGTGTTCTCCCACGAGCGTTACCTTTTGCGCCATATCCAACACGCCTACACACGTGTATTGGTTAATGTAAAGTAGCGTTGACGTCATACAACATGTGCCATACATGGTCCTACTGAGAAATAGCGTGGGTGTCACACATTATAAAGTATTTCTCTTGTCATTTCTTACCAATCAGTAGATACTTTCTAGTTCCCTTCTTCACAAAAAATGAAAGGTAGTTCAAAAGATTAAAAGGCATACTGTTTACTTTATAATATTTGAACAGCAGTCACCATAAAATTTCAGTAACATTACATGATGAAAATACTGAATACTTTATAATGTAGTCCTTTAAGATTATCGTATTTATTTATAATTCTGTATTACTTTTAAATTTCCAATGAATTATACTATTATAAGATAATAAAAAGTTCATTCCACGTATCGTGTCATAATTAATCAGTGTATTATTTATTTTCTACAAAGATAAAAGAAAATACATGTTCCCAATTAAAAATTTTCTACTAGCATAAATTTTTATTGTATGAATCTATTGTATGAACATGTTTATTTTCCTTATTTCTATTCCAATTTATTACAATTGTAAAAAGTATTATAATATATATGTATAGCAGTCATGATAGTAATAACAGTAATTGTACAATTTAAAAATTGTAATATATGTCTATTATTCATTAGTTATAATTCAAGATACTATTACAAACAGTTCAACATTAATCCCGGGAAACAAATATTCATATATATCTTATGTACAAATTTTGTAGCTTTCTGTATAATTCATTAAACGAACAAAGAATTGTGTTTTCATAGATTGATATTTTAAGAACTAAATTTCAATTAAATGCTTTCCTTCGTGAAATGAATTATATTATACTGCATTTATAAAAAATGTTAAACTTAAATGTTATTCCATGAATTAAATTTAAAATCGGCATTGCGTAAAATATATATAAAGTATTCAACACCATTAAATTCACTAGAAATTTCCAAGCGTATAGTTATCTGACAAACTGTCGATTATCTTTCGTACGTTTATTCACTTGGCGGAAAGTTTTACTGCGTTGTAGTTGTTTTTCTGAATTAGAATTGTTCATGCTTTTGAAGTATCCATAACCGCCTCCACCTATTCTTTTACGTGGCCGTGAATTCTTACTTATTCCCACTTCTGTTACAATATGATATTAAGGAAAATTGCTTTAGTAATGCTCATAACATAAAAAAAGAGCGAAATGATTTATATAAAAAATATATAAATAATAAATAAAAGATTTTCTATATTATACAGACGTAAAATTAAAAAATGGAATGCTTTTAATACAATATACAATTGAAATCTAATTTTCTATATACTGTACATATAGCAAATAAAGTAATTAGAATATTAATATTATTAAATAAATATAAATTCTTTTTAAGAATATGAATATGTTCATGTTGATATACAAAATGATACGAAATCTTTAATAAGTGTAATGTTAAAAAGGATACTCAAGTCAACAGCTGGTGGAACCACAAATCCAAAAGATTTTGCAACCTTTGCTAAGTCCAATGTTTCAATATCAAAAATTTGTTTCAAATGATGAGAATCATATGCTCTGACATATGCTTTAAATGCTTCTTTTGCTGACATATTAAGGAAGTAGTTCTTTCCAACCAACTTTTCAAGCTAAAACAGACCATAATATATAATTTAATTATTTTAATGTACCAAAAATCAAATAGGTACAATTTTTCTAAGATAGTAGTTAAAAATAACTTACAACAATTAAAAATAAACATAAAAATCTATTAATATTTAAATATAATATGAAATTTGATGCAACATTATTGTATATTATTGTGTTCAAATTTCCATATTTTTTATATTATAACAAAAATCATAAGTATAATGAAAAATAAATTAATAAAAATTATATTTAATATTTTTAAAGCAATTTTATTTTTATAAAAATAATTTATATTTAATGATGCAAACATTCAAATTTGATTTCTTTGAATTTAAAATAATGTAATTAGTAACATTATATGATTTTTCGAAAAACTTGCAAAATATTAATATAACAGTATATCATACCATTTTAAATATTGTGTATACAATTATAATCAAAAATATTATTTCTATATAAAATTTTATATAAAAAAAATATAAATGTATTTATTATTATAATAATAATAAAATGAATACCTATGTAGTTGATATCAAATTTACGTTTAATTAATATTTGATAGTAAGCATCCCTTTCACATACATATATCATTAAACCTAGCTTCTACTATTTTGATGTTTGAAATAGACCTCTACTCATGAGTTTACTTGTTAATAAGTTTATTAGCAGGGCACTGGCACTTGATTTATCCTTTTTTTCTTTCTTTTCCTATCATTACAGCATTAAGGAATTAATGAAATAAATTCAAAATCTAAAAGTTTGTAAAGTAATCGAAAATATATGAAAACATAAATTATTTTATGTAAATATAAAATACTGATAAAAGTTATTATGTACATGTATATAATTTATTACGAAATAGTACGATAATAAGACATTATATTTGAAAACTATCTGATTCTGATTATATTCTGATACATCAATTGAACTAAAAATGTACAAATTACAGTATGAAACAACTACATAAATAAGTGAACACATTTAAAAAATAGTTGTCAATATATGTATATGTAATTATTATCGGTGAACTTCAATTTTTCGATTAAGTAAATTATGTAAAAAATAACGTGAAATAATTATATTAAATTAAGCAAGTAAATTTTTATTTAGTAATTATATATTATAAAATTTTGTGTTTCATTGTAATTGCCATAATTTTTAGGAAACAATCTGAACTTTTTTCATACATTCCAAAATATACCATGCACATGTAAGAAATAATGAAAAGAGTATGATTTATTTAACAAATTTATGTTTGATCAAATACTTTTCAGTGTTCAAACTTTAAAAATACAATCTTATATGCCGACTATGAGTAATGGGATAATGACAAGATGATGATGAAACAAGGAAGAAATGAAATTAACTTTCATAGTTTTCACTTTATTTTCTTTTTCTTTCTCTTTTTGATGTAATTATATGATGAAAGAGAAAGGTACTTATTCTTTTATACTTCATCACCCTGATAGGAACAAGTTTATCCATGGTGTGTAATTTTTAAACAAATAAAATTATTTTATTATACACATAAATGTTAATAATAAACGCTAATTTTATACGAAAGATTTATTATTCTATTTATTAAAATAATGAAGGATGTATTTTTTTAAATACTTTAGTGACTAATTGCATATGTTTAAACTTATATTTTCAAGTATTATACTTAATTATACTTATTTATCATAAGGCATAATTTAATAATTATCAATTTGTTATCAACTATTAACTGTTTATACTCAAAACGAAGCATAATATTATTCTTATACCTTTATATAAGCAATTATTCTTATCCCCCAAAATGAGTTTTATTAGAAAATGAGATAAACAGAAAATAAAGAGTTTTGATTGCACCATATTTTTTAAAATAGACGTGCATTTAAGAGTCACTTAGTCACTTTTCAAGCTTTATTATATAATAAAAAAGATAACTTTGTACTCACTTGTAACTGAATATCAGCTATTTTATTCCATGAAAAATCAAATTCATTTACAGGTACTCTGGCTTGTTTAAGATAACGAAGAAAGCCAAGTTCTTCTGGCCTTAAAATTAGTAAAGCATGTCCACTACTGCCTTCTCCTCTAGCTGTTCTACCAACACGATGAATATATTCCTAAAATAATATTTAATTTTTATATTCATTGTCAATTTAATAATTCTTGTAATATGTAATATTTGAACATAAGTCTTGTAATATATAAAATATTCATTTTGAATATATATGTAACAATATGATTTTTTAAATATATACTACAAAGAATTTACCTTGGGATCATCTGGAGGATCATATTGTACAATCCAGTCAACAGCTGGTATATCAAGACCACGTGCAGCTACATCAGTACAAAGGAGTATACCAGTAGAAGCATTACAAAATTGAAAAAATGTTGTTGTTCTCTTCGTTTGTTTTTGTTTTCCCTGTTAATTAATTAATGAAAATATATGATATAAAATGTTATATATTAATAATAATTATAATTATTTAACATTAAATGATCGTACATGTATACTTAATACTGGCAAATCAATGTAATTTAAAAGTTCATGATGATATTTAACTGACATACACGAACTGAAGAAAACCATAACTTTTTTGTTCCTGTTCTTTTTTAAGAAAGTAAATAAAAGTAAAAATCTTTTTTCACTGGGACACATGACATATCCTTGTTCTAAACCTTCTACTGTTGCTTTTTCTTTATCATCATCAACACCTACATAAACTGGTTCTTTTTTCAAAGCTAAAGTCGTTAACATTTCTGTTTTCTGGGTTTGAGTTGCACTAAACAACATGGTTTGTCTTTTTTCTATAATAAAAAATATTGTATCATAACCAATTATATATCTACTAGTATTAGTATTTGTACTTAAGCTATGAAAATATTAAACTAACTTGGTAAAATGTTAATAATTTGCTTAAGTTCTTCTTCAAAACCAATATCTAAAATTCGATCAGCTTCATCAATAACAAGACATTGAAGATTTTTATACAAAAAGTCTGGTGTATTTTGTAGATGATCCAATAATCTACCAGGTGTAGCTACAATAATATTAATTCCCTTTGAAAGTTTCTGAGCTTCGGTCTGTCTATTAGCGCCTCCCATTAATAAACCATATGTATGATAATGATATTTCATCAATTCTTTTAAAACTCCAAAAGTTTGCATAGATAACTCTCGCGTTGGGGATATAATAATGCAACCAGTGCCTGAAAATAATAATATAATAAAATACTTACACAAAAAATACTTTATTTACGTTATTCACATACCGTTACGTGGCATAAATTTTAATTTATAAATTAATTCAACAGCTGGTATTAAAAACGCTAAAGTTTTCCCTGATCCCGTTTTAGCAGCACCAACCAGATCTCTTCCTTCTAATAAGGAAGGAATAGCTTTTGCTTGTATTTCTGTCATGTTTATAAAACCCATATCTTCTATTCCTTTTAAAGTATTTTCACAAACTATTTTTTCTAGTATTTTGAAACTTGTATCATTTGATATCTCCAAACCTATTGTAGATCCAGGTACTATAAAATGAAAAGAAGTTAAACTGGTCTGTGTGTGTATAATTTCATGATAACTGTAGTTTAACTTCTTAATAGCAATAGACAATTGTTGTGCGTTTGTGAAAAATATATATGCTTAAAAAATTTTGACAAAGATACACATTTTGTAAAATTCTCAGATATATTAATAAGTGTCAATTATTATACACATAACAGTGTAAGTAAAATAATTCAGAAGAAATGATATATATTTTAAAATAACAGTATTACCATAAAATACAATTTTGTTAAAAATTTGTTTCCCAATACACAGCAAATGCTTTTACTGTAATTAAAAGTTGAATAAACTTTTGTTATTATACTTACAATTTATATTATCAACACTATTGTCTGTTGTACACTTTCCATTTGTATGACTAATGACATCACCTGTAGTATTATTAATGTCATCTTCTTGTAATTTGTCATTATCTTTTATTTTCTTTTTTTTCTCTGTAATATAATACACCTACTATATATAGTAATATAACTACTCTATATAATAACATAATATAACTACACATTATTAAGCAGGTTTATGATATATATAACAAAACAATTATACTGATGTTATAACTCATATTGTATGTTCTAAATTCAGACATAATTACTAAATCAGTAATAAGTTATGATTACTTTACTAAATGTTATAATCAGAACAAGAATTATTGTAACAGCAACAAAATGCTATACAAAAAATATTTTGGAATAATATTAAAATAAGATAGAAAATATTTTAATTGATGTTTTCTAATATACGAATAATAATTAAAAACTAATAACTGAAAAAATGTATCATTCTGTATATAACTATACATTATATATTAATTAGAAACAAAATATAACTTCTAGATATATTTAAGGCAGTCTTCTAGTATCTAGGGTCAAAAAAATAGATTTTATTTTTTTTTCTTCTTTTTCATTAAGTACATATTTTCAAGAATATTTTCTATAAATACCTATCCACTTTTGCTAGCAGTTTTACATATTAGCGTGAAGTATGATTTTAAAGTGCTAGAAGTATAGAAATATGTAGAAGTGTAGAAATATAGACAATAAAGGGTTCAAAATTGCTCATACCCACACGGAAGGAGAGAGGAAAGAAAACTTTAATCTTTAAACACATATTTCTCAAAACTATGTACTTTAAAACGATATCTATAATTTCTCAAAAAGTGTTTGACAGATTAGCACAAAATTTTGTAAAAATATTTAGTATATTTCTGGCTATGACCCCCACTAGAATTATTCAAAAATACTCATTACTACTATTCTTTTCACACTTGTATATTTAAAACAAATTTTTTAAATTGCTAAGATAAATTCAGAAAACCGTTATTTCTTTATTTACCAATATTTTTTGTTTTATTTCGTTCCAGTCATAGCTATATTCATACTTGAAAGGAATTCTATTGAGCTTTTTATATCTGATAAAAGAAGGAGCCTGTATTACGAACACCACCAATGTGTTAATTTCAAAACATAAGGTATTAATGTTTCTTTGCAACAATTTTTCAAAAATATAGAAAAAATCAAGCAAGATACTAGAAGACTTCCTTAAGTTGATGAACAAAGTATTCCATGTAACTATAAAAAGACACTAATAAAAAAAAAAAATAGTTAAAACAGAGAAACATGTGATATAAACTACAATCACATTTAAAATATTTAAAATTTGGAAATCTTTCCACATTATTGTTAGGTATTAATATTTAAGATATATCAAAAAATTGTTTTAAAAATATAGAAATTATATAAAAAATAAGTAATTGTATGGATGTTTTGAAAATATTCTCCAAAAAAAAAGTGATGAAAAAACGAGCAATTCATAAAAATCATTATCTTAGTATTTTATTAGATAAGTGCACAACTAAATGATTATTAATTAAATAAATATCGATGAGAAATTATTATAAAAACTAAATAGATAGTTATTTCAACTTACTTTTAACTTGTTCATTTTTTTGTGTGTTATGTCTTTTTAATCTATTTACATTGTCTAGCTCAGTTTCTTGAACGTGGTGTTCTGAGTTCTCAAGTGTAGTATCACCTTTTATTAAAATATATTACATTAATAATAAATATAAATAATTTATGTAAGAATTAAATACAAAACAACAAGTAATCAATTATATTTTATAATCACATGTACCATTTTGTATTTGCTGCTCTCGTTCTTTAAGCACTTGAAATTTCTTTTTTTCTCTTTTCTTAATTTTTCGCATTAATACTTTATCAGGTACTGACATGTTTATTTAATAAATTTAAATATTCACTTATATGCAATAAGATAGTTGAACAAAATTCATCCATGTGGTAAACCGAAAAATTGCTCTGAATTGAGCATGAACGATATAAATATAAAGACGAAATCTCTCACACTGATTTGTCATAACCAGCATTGTTGGGAACTATTAAAAAAGTCCCTAGCTACGAAGCAATCAGAGTGTAGTAATGAATATAGTCAAATTATTTATAGTTATTACCATAATTTAAGATTAACAATTTCAAAAGTGACTTAAAAAGAAATATGTGTAAAAATCATTTATTTATACATCGCTTAATTTCGAAAGCCAGATTATACTGTATCGATAAAACAGTCGTTACAAAATGAATGTCTGCAATGACATCTGGGAAACATAGTTCATACTAAATATTATCTATCTATAATAATCGTGGGATTTCCCTAATTAAAAGGTAGAAATTTAATTACTTTCAAATATAAAGTTAACATAATTTCATTGATTTGTATATTTCAAAAGAATATTGGGAAAATAGAACCTCGCAAAGAAATAAACCACAGTACTTATCTAAAAATTAGTCATTCTTTGTCATAATTGAAAGAAATAACGTAAAATTGTACAAATTATAAATAGGATTTATACCCCAGTACAATAGGTATTTTAAGCAATAAAATATATCTTTAAAAAAATTATAATAAAAATAACTAAGAAAGTAATATGAAGCGATCATTTACAATGATAAACAATATGTTGTGACAAATTATTTTGAATCTCAGAATTAAAGTCTTAAAATAAGTGCAAATATTAAATCATTCATAATCATTAATAAAGTAGACTTAATATTATGTTTTATAAACTTGATTTTAAACTCAACTTTTTATAGATAAGTTTAACATTATATAGATATTTCTAAATCAAAATTTTGAAATAAATTTTTTAAGATTTCTCAACTGAAATATTACATTTATTTAATTGTATTATATGATCCAAATATGTTTCATGAAGTTTAAATCTAGTGATTAGGGTAATACACATATTAATGTACCTTATTATATATAAGGTATATATAATAACCACTCTTTAATAATTCGAGTCATTTGTTTCCGATCGTTGATTTCCTAGAATACCCACTTGTAATTAATTCAAGCCTCAAGTGTAAATACAGTTTTTTAGAATTTAAAAACATTGTTAATACATTATTTGGCAAATTGCAACCAAGTTTCTCATAGTTTCTACTTAGTTCTCTTCCACTTATTCTTATCTTTAATTATTTTTTTTATTCTTCCGTAAGAATCAATAGTTTTTATAACTTTTGTTATAGTTTTTAGACAATAAATTTTATTGAATGTTTAGGCAATTTTTTCTATTAATTTTGGACTATTTATTTTGAAAACGTCTTATTTTAAATTATAACATCAGTAGACATTTTTAAGTTAAATATTTATATTTCTCTAAAACTTCTTTTGAAAATATGTTAAATAAATTAAAATTTTTTACATAAAAAATTAAAAAATAAAAACAATAAAAAATGAAAACTAAAAAATAAAAGACAAAAGTTAAAAACAATGTAAACAAAAAATAAATAAACTTTGTATTTATATATTTCAGTCATTTTGTATTAACATATAAACGTAAACAATTTTGTAACAACATGCAATTTTATTTATTGCTGATAAATATGACATGCAAAATTCTATGGATGTAAGGAGGCTTTTGTCACTGACTATATAATGCATATATTTTTTATTCAAGGTGACCTGTCGAACACGTGGGTGAAGTGTATTGAATACCTCACCGGTCACCCTGTACATTGTATTCGCAATAATTCTCTTATTGTCAATATTATTCTACATAATCAAACTATGTGAGAGATAAAAAATTCATCATACAGATATTCTCTTATGGAAAATATTTTACTCTATAGAAGTTTATTCATTATTTTATTATGACAAAAAAAGATGAATGAATATTTTTCATATCTCCCTATATTACGCTGAATAAAACAAAAGATGTATGAAACCCGCATTTTTTGTTGACTTGATAATATTAAACGAACAATTTTAAAATCTCATACAAATTCAACTGAAGTATTATAAGTATTTTTTATCACATAAAAGTATTTTATGTAATAACTTATGTAATTCTAAATTTTAAATATGTATATTTTATTTATATTACTTGTTATTTGTTGTTATTTGGATATTAATTAATGCAGAAATTATAGCTGTAGTATTTAATTAGAACTATATAAATAATTCTCATATCTATGATTTATGTTTCTCTATGGCAAACTGTTTAAATATCTTAATTTCTGAGAATTAAAATCTAGTATTTATAATTTTTCTGAACAAAAATTGTAATTAATTCAAATTACTGCAAATACAGGATTTGAACATATTTTAATTGAATACAGGAAGTATCAGTGAATATGAAACTGGGAGACTACTGTACGAGATCTCGTATACTTAATGTAGGCCATCATTAAGGCCTTGAGAAACAGGTAAAGTGAAAGGTACTTACCTCAAGCAATGTTTTTCATAAAATGTCAGTGCATTTCGATTCATTGTAAATATTGCATAGTAAACGGGATTGCAAACTGTGGTAGTTTTTAAGTGAGTACTATTTTTGTAAGATTTATGATATAATTTAATTTATTTCTCTATGGAAATATGGGAGTAATAACAAACGATAAAAATATTAAGAAAAATTGTTTTCCATGTTCCAATAGATAAATTAGTAAATATTGGCAATTCCATAATGTATTACCGTTTGATGATGTTTTCTAGTCTTTAATTGTATTTTAATTACTTTTTATTTATTTACAAACATAAAAATGATGATACACATTGTATACGTGTATAACAATGGATATATGAGATGACACCGTAACAAGTAAATACTAACATTTTAATACAAATTTTATGTAGAAAAAATTTTATTAATTTTTTACTTTTATTATTCTTCAATTTAAAAATTAATTTGTAAAATATAAATAATACAAAATCAATGTTAGGAACCACATAGCAATAGTTGCTAATGCCTTAAAACGAAAATTTAAGATCGTTAGGAATAAAATTTTAACAATTTTTCATTGAATTCAGTTACATGGAACAATTTTGAAATTTTCTTTTTCTTTTTTAAATAAATTTGCATAGTTATTCTTGCATATTTTGCAGTTGATTTAAAATCAAAATCTATAATACATTTAATAAACTTTATTGATTAGCAGGTAAATAATTTTGATATTTTAAATTTATGAATCTTATATAATAAAATATATAGCATAAAAAGATGTTACTAAATTCAAATTCACAAGTGACAAAGTTTTTTCACTGTTAAAACGAATTTTTAGTGAAACTTATTTTTTCTATATTTCGATTTTCTATGTACTTTATACCAAGTAATATTAAAAATACCAAATATCTCAATAATATCTCAACAATCATAAAATGAGCAATGATTTTGAATCAACGCCTCGATTGCGTAATTGCCGGCACTTCCACTATATTTGTAATATGTCATTATTTTACTTATTTTAATAGATATTAATACGGTATTATAGAGAAATATATTTTCAGTTGAAGTATTTAAAATAATATTAATATTCTGTAATACTACTAATTTACTAATAATATTTTATATAAATACAATATATTTGTGCCAATGATGATGACAATGACCCAAGTTATACATGTATAGTTTTTTCCAAATATTTGAACTTTCGTGATTTCATTATATTATAAATTTAAAAATTAATTATAACAAAAATACAAAATCAATCTAATATTTCATCTCTTTACAATGTTGCTACAAATAATCTTATTTCATTGTAATATAAAATCGTTTTTCATTTTTTAATTTTTTCTATAGGCCACTTTCATAATTACCAGCACATTTATAATATTACTTTATTAATATTAATCCTTTAGTAATAATTTTTTACTGTACTTCATAAAAAATATATTTTTATTCAAAAAAGTTTAAACAATATACTCTTTTGGCACTGAAATAAATAAAGTTTCTGTATATGTTATTAAGCAAACAGAAAGCCATTGTAATCCATATGAAAAAATAAAACAAAAATAAAAAATAATGAAATGATGTAATAATGCAGTGGAGTAGTATATTGGTGAATAAATAAAATGAAAATTAAAAAATATAGGTGCATTGCTAAGTTAGTTAAATAAAAAAATATAATAAATTAATTACACAATAATACAATTTGAAAAGAAATTTTGTATATATATATTTATATTCATTATAGAGGATTAGATAAATGTATGTACAAATAAAACATAAAAAAATACCTAAAATATAAATATGTTAAAATTTAATAGCAATTGTGATACTATTCGTTTATATTTATAATAAATCAAGTGTTTTTCATTTCAGATTAACAATGAAGCTTTATAGTGTTTCTGATGGACCACCATCTCTTGCCTGCCGTCAAGCTTTAAAGGCTTTAAATTTACAATATGAATTGATTGACGTGGATTTTGGAAAAGGAGAACACATGACAGACGAATATGCACAAGTACGTTTATTCTAATAACGTAATGAATTCTCCTATTATATTTTATAAATCTGAAATATGTTTTATTCATTGATATAAGGTCTAATATACATGTCATTATTTTTACAGTTAAATCCACAAAAGGAAATACCCGTATTAGTTGACGATGATCTTGTTATGGGAGAAAGGTATTATATTATAATAGTATAATTATAAATACTTTCCGAATAACCCAATAATATAAGATATAATATAAATTCACTTAAAAATTAAGTTTTATGATTTATTTTAATACAAAAAAAATTTGGACGAATAAAATAATTTTCGCTTTTTTTATTAATAAAATAATATTTTATTTATTTTTCTTTATTAAATAATATTTTATTGTATTTAATATAATAATATTTAAAAATTAATATTATTTAATTGTATCACGAATATTATGAGTAAGATAAATTTAATATGATACAAGAAAGATGATACAAGATATGTATTTTAAGTACAACGAATTGAAGAAATATTTAAATAAAATTCTAAACTAAAACTCTAATAACTCAATTTTATATAAATTGAATTAGAATTCAAAAATATTAGAACACTAAATATTATTTCTTTTTGTTCTGTAAACGTACGTACCAGTAATGCTATTCTACAATATCTTGGCGATAAATATGACACAACGGGAAAGCTATATTCAAAGGATCCAAAAGCTCGTGCAATAGTTAATCATCGTTTGTGTTTTAATTTGGCTATGTATTATCGTAATATCTCTGAATATGTGGTGAGTAAATAACAAGTACAATTTTATATAATATTAAATATTCTAATCAATTATAATTTTGAATGTTAAATCTGAAAAGTAAAATTGTGAAAATGATTCTAATTTTCAAAAATCATATATAATTTTTAGAATGTATAAGTTAAAAGATTAATACATATATACAATAGTTTTATATCTTCATTCTCAGAACACATTTTATTTTATAAATGTAATTCTAAATATTGTAAAAATATCTAAAGTGAAAATTTGGTATAATATCAGTTTTTAATCGATTATTTTATTAATTTATTTAATTATTAAAATTCTACTTAATTTCTTAAATTACTTATTAAGTTATTCAGTATCTATAAATATGTGATGAGTGTATTTATTTAAATATTTATATTACTAGTACTTACCTCTTTTATCTGGAACTTAAATATCTTAAAATATACAGAACATAATTTATGAACAAATAAATTGGACATATGCAATTAATTATAACATCTTTGAATAAATTTTAATTTATTTTAAAATATTTGCACAGCTGGCGCCTATATTTTTTGATTATAAAAGAACCCCTTTGGGTTTGAAGAAAGTGACAATGGCATTAGACGTTTTTAACAAATATTTACAACGTGAAAATTCAGAATATGCTGCGGGTAGTAAGTATCCTGAATTCTAGTATTAAATGTTTCTACAAGCTATAGAGATTACTGTAGAAAATTTAATTGATTTATAAGATTTATTTTCTTACTTGTAAAAACAAACATAGAGTATTCTTTTAGTAATACTGATATATTTTATAAAAAGAGATAATTTTATATTTTTCGCTTCAGTATCACTCTTATTGTTATATGATAATTTATTTATTATATTTACTTAACAGACACGCTAACCATCGCCGATTTCCCCTTAATTACTGCAACCATGTGTCTAGATGCAATCGACTTTAAATTAAATCCATGGCCATACGTAGAAAAATGGTATAATAATTTTAAACAAAATCATTCGGAGCTATGGGAAATCGCAGCAGAAGGTATGCGAGAAATTAGTTACTATGAGAAGAATCTACCTGATTTGTCTAGCATGGATCACCCGATCCATCCGACTCGCAAAAACAATAAATAGTCTGATACTGAATATAATTACCTTACAATGGTTCTATATAATAGAAATACTAAAATGTTTATAAACTATTTTCTATAATTAAATGCCAATATTGCTATATTCTAATAAATTAAACGTCTTTTTTTTTATTGACATATGTATGTGAAATTTGTAATCCTTTAGACATTAACCTCATACTAACCAAAGCTATGATGTATATACATATATGTATGTAATAAATACTCTAACAACAATTACATTTTCTCATAGAGATACAACGTTTAGTGATTTGTGTATAATTGACCATATGCGTCATAAGTTATAAGGTATTCTACTTGAGCTAAGTGTACAATTTATCCAATTTTAAAATAAATAACTAACAATGACAATAATTCCTTATACATTTGTACATTGTTGTTCATAGTTGTAGTAGAATTTTTGTTATAGAAGTAATACTTTTTAACAAAATAATGCTCATTGATCAACCAAGATACATTGATAATTTTAATTATAGCTTTGCACATTTTAATCAAGAACACCTGCACAAACAATGCATTCTTATCTAGAACACACTTCCAAAAGTTTGTTAAGAACATTTGGAAAGTTCTGAAACAGTAGAATTTCAAATAATATATTAATTATTTTAGATAATAACAGAATATGTTACAAAGTATTTGTTTTGATATAACATGAAATAATGATAGTTGATATTTGCATATAGTTAAACAGTTGTTAACTATTACCTTAAGCATTGTTATATGCTTTTATTTGCTAATTTTTTATTTCTGATAAGTACTCACAAATTTACAAGATATGAACAGTGAATAGAAGTTTTTGTTTGTAATAAATTTGTTTACATTTAAAATTGAAAAATCCCTATAACATTGCTTAAACATCATTAAAATGTATTATCATACACAAATGTAATTTGTGTATATTGTACATATTGTTGTGTATATTGTTTCACAACAGAATTTGACTATTTAAAATGATATTATCGTCATGAAAATAATTTGTTTAATTGTTTATACAAAAACACGTTATTGTAAAATTTTTGAAGTCCTTGAATATCTAATAAATGATAGACAATTAATGAAATGATAGACAATAATACATTATGTATTATCAATTTAAGTATCTTGTTTCATATGCATTGCGCAGATTCTAAATAAAATCATGCAAAGTTATGCGATACTTTAATTCTAGTCATTAGTATCAACGAATTTTTACATGGAAGTAAAGTTGAAATACATATATACTACAAATTGACAGGCTAACTGATATATTATACATAATGTATGCATAATTTAATTGAGCGAATATTTCTAACTTTTTTTTAAAATTGTAAACCAAAAGTCGGCGATACCATTTATTGATAAGAACACTTTGGTAAAGAACATTTCTTGTTTTATTTAATCAATTAAGATTAAATCGTTAAAACATTAAGTCAGATAATAAAGTAACATTATACATACATGTTATATAATAAGATAACAATTTTTTCAGATTGTTAGGCAATTATATTATATGATAGATCAAAGGAAATTTTTTCACTTGCCCTATTCAATGCATTGCTATGATATTTGATTGTCTTTACAGTATACATATAAATCACGTATTTGTAGACTAATTTTGTCTATATAGTATGCTAATACTGATGATGGAAAGCTTCTAACAAAAAATGAACATTATTATTTGTTTGTAAAAAGGAAAACATTTCAAATAATTTCTGTTATGCCTAAAAAAATTATCATTACTAAATGTTACAGTATTCCCACAGATATTGCAGAAAATATTTGTTATAGAAACAGTACAATTTCATGGAAACAGACTCTAAATATTTTACAATATCACTGATGAATGTAACATAAAATATACTAAATAATGTCATTTAATATAACTTACAACTTACATAAATTTGGAAGTTTAAGGCAATAAAATCAAGGACAGAAACTAAATATAATTACAAATACATAATTATAAATGTCTGAAAATTTGCTAAAAAATATTAATATTTGAATACTATATTAATCTTGTTAATTTCGCATGACTTATTATAATAATTTGAGAATTCAATATCCAAAACGTTTTATTTTTTTTTCTTTTTAAAGAAAATATAATAATAAATTTAGACAATGTTATAAAGATTTTAAATATTGTCTACCAATATTCCTTTTCTTTTCCATTTAATTATGTTTTTATTAATAGTATCACAATGAATTAAAAGTGAATATTATTAACTCATTAAATTCATCTAGAATGTATTACAATATAAATGCAATATAATTAAAATTTTCACTCATCTCAAATTAAATTTAAGAGGCTGTAAGTAATTTTATAACTATAGTAAACAATTTGATTAACAAGATTGCAAGATTCAGATACACTGTTTTATTTTCTCTTTCAAACCAAGCAATTTTTATATAAATAACCTTTGTATTTCTATAGTAGCTGTAAAAAAGAATAAATATTAAATAGTTACATATTATATGCACCTTTATAATACTATATATAAAAGTTATGAACCCAAATTGATGTTAAATAATATTTTGATGATAATATATGTACAATCATAACACTAAGAAAATACTACTAATTAATAGCCATTTAAAAAATCAATTAGATATATGTTTAAATAACTTTTGTAAATAATTATTATCAACCTAACTAGATAATATTTGTTTATAAAGATATTAGAAGATTGAATAAAATTTAATAGTTTAAAGTTAATTTAAATACCAAAATTATACTAGTAATAATACACCATACATTTAATTATAGTATTATTTTTCAGAAGTTTTATTAAGACTTTAATTTATTATTTATTGGTTTATAATAATCATTTGTAAATAATACTATTTATATCTATAAAAAAATATCATCACAACCTTGTGAAATACTAACAAAAAACTGTAACTGTGTAATATGATAAATATATAATAATAATAGTAGTAATAATAATAATAACAATAATAATAATAATAATTATTATAATAATAGATAAATAATAAGAATTTTTTATTTTATTAGTTACATTTTTCAATATGAAACATCTACTCATCAAACTTAGATATATGTTACAATGAAAATAGTTTGCTTATTTAAAAATAGATTGCACAGTAATTAAATAATTTTATTCAAGTATTTTTAATTATCATTTTAATATTAAAAATTTATTACATAAAATATGATATGAATTAAAGTTTATTACACTTTATCAATCAGTCAATCTCTATTTTATAATTAATATTAAATTATAAATGTTGTTATTACTATTTTTCAATATTCTTTTGAACTGTGAATAGCAGCTTGATATAGTAGCTTTTTATAGAAACCATAAGTTGTGAAATTTATAAAATAAGATCAGTTACTTTTTTATAGAAAATTATTCATGGAAAACTTCTTTCCTATATGATATTGAATACAAGAATTCTACTTAGTATTTGTAAAAACACATTTTATCGTAACTTACAATAACTCACAGTATTAAACAGGATTTAATACCTGTACTATAGATAAGATTCAACATATGGTTATTATTTAATCATTTGAATATTACGTAAAGAATGTACTTATAATTCTTTATTACATATATTATTTACTATTTACAAGATATGTTATGTAATTAAAACTTTTGTAACTTTATCTTTAAATAACTTAATTATTCTAGTATGATGAATAAAGTAGATTACTCTTTAAAAATCATAATTAAGATATTTCTACTGGATAAACCAAGCTACGTATAGGATATTCTATATTAGGATGTCAAAACAAAATTTTTAATAGATCTGTTTATGTATGATTTTCTTTTTAATATTGTACAAGAAAAGAAAAATATTAAATATTTTTCACTATGCAATAATTAATAATTAAAGCATTACAGATGAAATTATTATTTATTTTTAAATATTGTTGACATTTTCATCAACTGAAATAATTTTTCTTTTAGAATAATTTTCAAAGTGGTACATGTGAAGAAACACATAAAATATATAGGATATATATATGTATACAGTATCCCAGAGGTTTCCATACAAATTTTGTTAATGTGTTCTATAATAAAAAATAATACAGAAGCATCATATGAACAAAGATCTTCAAAACCTTCAATAAAAAATTAAATAAAAAATATGAGCTGTATTTGAAAATCATTTAAAAATACACAATTTTAAACACAAATCTTATTTTTAATCTAATACAAGACAAAAATATATTTTACACAAAATATATTGTATTTCATAGTGTTTATACAATCAATTGATTTACTTATATTTTAAATTTTGTGAAATATTAAGCTAACCTTGAACCTCGAAACAAGACCAAAATGGATTAATAATAACTATATCTCTGATTTCAAAACACAAGTATTATTTATCTTTTTTGGTCATGTGTTGTTTCAAAAATAATTTTACTATCTCTTTTTTTATATTTTATATTTTTATTATAACTTTTTAATTAAATATTTATGAGGTAACATTTATATATTTATATAAAATTGTCATTTGTTTTTGTCCATAGAACACATTAACAAAAAATAGAAACCCATGAAACACTCTGTAAACACTATATAAAGATTACATTGGTCCCTACCTTTTGTAGTTGGAATTCTTTTGTTTATATTCCCAAAATTATCTCAACTTGTACATAAGTAATCTATAAATCTGTAGTTGGATTTTTGGTTCATTCGGTTCATTTAAATTTTTGGTACCCTGTTCCAGCAATTTGGAAATTGTATTAAATTTTACAATTCACCATGTAATTTTTGAGCATTTATTATTTATTTTTTTCTCCGAGTCAACAAACAAACATGGATTAAAAAATTAAAATATTATATAATATCAAAATTTAAATACCATAAATATTTTCAAAACACATTTAAAAAAATTGCAATTGATAAGAAACAATGAATACTGCTCTACTAATAAATTAGTAATATATATAATATATTTCTTAATCATGCATGAAAATGGTATTCTACTAAATTTTTAAAATCTAAGAGAAATCTAAATTTAGTATCGTACTATATTTGATAAAAAGTAACCAAAAATAAAGACTCGTAAAGATTGTTTATACATATATAGTGAGGTATTCTATAATAAACAGTTTTTCTTATTAAATCAAAACTCTTATAATGATTAAATATGCTACAATGAACTCAAAGAATTATAATCCTCTTAATCCCTATTCTTTCTCTTTTTTGAAACTTTATACATTTCCATGTGAGTGTAATATATAGAATTTAAATATAATAAATTAAATTTATAACACGTATATTTGTATCTGTTTATTTTACATATTTTTATCACGAATATATTTATATACTATTCTTAAATACATATGTATGCATACAGATATACATATGTAGCAATGTATTCTATGGACAAACCAACGCTATAACGAATATTCGTTTTGGAAGCAAATTGTATATGCATATGTACTTAAGTACATTATACCGTTATAGGACACCCCACTGTAACAATAAATTAAGGAGAAAAATGTAACAAGCAAATAAGTGAACAATATTAATGTTATTTAATATTGTTAAATTCTTTTTACGAATTGGAATATGTCTAAAAAATAATTTAAATAATTTAAATAAATAATTTAACCATATGAAATTAAGGACTATTCTAACAAATGAAGTATATATTTATAAAATTAGTAATATTTTTGTTTAAAGTTTTTATATTCATTATTATGATATCATAAATGTATTTACAACAAAAATTATAATGGAATTAATTAATCATCTTATATAATTATGGCTCTTTAATATATCTGAATTTAGATATGATTAGGCAAAGTAGGTATTGGCATATTTACTGTTTCCCAACAAAATAATTAATGTCATTCATAGTAATTTATACTGTTATTTCAATACAACTACTTTTATCTTCAACTTTTACTTTTAACTTTAATATTAAAAATTATAAAATACATGTCAATTAAGATTTTTGCTGCCAACAAAATAAAATTTTATGAATTATGCCTAAATTCAAAAAGATTAATTAATGATTTGGTTGTAAAAAATATTACAAAATTTGATAATTAATTAAAAGTACTTAAGTTAAAATACTTATTTGACAATAAATAACAAAATAAATATGTATTACTATAACTAAATCATATTCATAATTTATTAATAAAAAGTTTTACGGTTAAAGTTTTAATTTTTTTCATTAAGTTTTCAATCAGTTTTTCATTAAACTGGTTCTTTGTTGTTTAGTGATTTTTCATGTTTATATATACTGAATTTTTATTACACAAAAATTACCTATTTAATATAACACAATTTTTTAATTTTTGCGTTTAAGATTTCCTAATCCCGTCATTCATTTAATATAAAAAATAGTGATAATAAATATTTAGTATGGATATTTAATTATTCTTAAATAAATTTTCACAAATGGAAAATCTTAAAATAGGTTTTTCAATTAATTTTAATTTTTATACACCTAATATTTAATATTTAACTGAGCAATTGTAACAAAGATTAAATGTAACTATGTTGTTAAGATAAAGGGATTAAGTAAAGCTAAATTAATTGCAATAATAATCTAAATTACATTATGTAATTAATTAAACATAGTTTAGTTATGCTTTACTATTATTGCTATAAAATATATTATTAAATATTATTCATAATGTTCATTTCTTTAGCAATATAAAACACATAAATTGTGTATGTAACCATAATCAAAATTGTTCTCTTATTCTTTTTTGTCATATTGCTATGATTGATACTAATATTCTTCTTCATATTTAAATAACAGAAAAGATTTGAAATTAAAGAATTCTATATTCTATGCTTTTGTTAGAAAAATTATTTGTGTGTTAATGATTTTATTCATGAATGATTGTGTGTTCATTTCATTACAAAATACATTACTTAATATATTTTATACTTATAATAAAAATTCAGTGTAAGAACACACTTGAGAAAAAATGAAACAATATGAAAATATTTTTTATATTGTAGCTCTTACTTGTAATATAAACACTTTTTCTACTCCTTAACATTTTAAGTTTATAATGCTGATATTGTATTTCAAATAATATTAAATTTGTTTTAATACAATAAAATTGGGGAATATACTAATTTTATATGAAGTATATGTGAAAATAAAACTGATTAAAGCTTAATACATTTATCTCTTCTTAACATTCATCATCATTTGTCTCTTTAGCATAAATATTGTAGGTATATGGGAGAATAAATAGAATACATAGAATATTATATAAATAATGCACAATGCTAAAAAAATCAAGTTTTGATATCTGTATAATTGACTTGTGATAGCATGTACCATATATGTACACTATAGTTTTGCAAATAAGAAGTAATACTGTTTTCATGTTAGCATTTGAAATACAAAATAAAACTAATTACTAAAACCAATTGTTTTATTATTAATAAATTTAAAAAAAGACATCTTTGACTTTGAAAGTATATAAAGTATTTATATAACTCTCAAAATAATATTGAAGATAATAAAAATACTATTAATTTAGAATATAATATTGTGAATTATACAAGTCAATATTAAAAAGTTAATTTCTCAACTAATAAACTTTTACAGATATGCTTCATATTTATGAAAAATAACAAATACAATTTACTACATTAATATGAACTTTTTCAATTTAGATTCATTTAATTTTATATATTTTCTACGTACTAGTTGATCTTAATAAACATATTGACCATTTAAGTGGTGAGATAAAAAAATATCTTACAGCTTGAGAAATAAAAAGGTACTTACAGAATTGCTTACCTGAAAATTGCTTGTTGAATATAGATAAATAATTCAACTTAACTACAGTGCACGTCTGTTTCAGAATTATTGAAAGAGAAAATTCAACAGTTTTTCTTTCCAAGTTTTTAGAAACGTTATGTGATTTCTTAAGTAACAAAAATTCAAAATAAACATGTAGAACAAAAACAATAAAGAAATCGGAGTGACTTTTGTTGCAATTAAAAATTTCTTCCGATATTGCTTTCCGCGTTTGTTACTATTCTGAAATTTATTGAATTGAACTGCAAACGTTTTGAAGGTCCACGTTATTGTTTTGGCAAACCAATTCTACCTGTAATTGAAACGATAGTACACCTAGTCACCGAACTCTTCCTGAAGGTGAGCGAAGGTGCGATTTTATGTAACCGGTTCGATAATCAATCACATCACGTTGTGTACCTCCCGATACGCCATGTCCGTGTCTTCTACTCCACCTGCAATTAAATATCAGATTAATTGTGCCGTTCCCGCGCTTTTTTAACCAGCTTCATTTGCATGCATTTTGTTCTCATTTATATTTAGCATTAACTGGCTAAATCGTAGAAGTTTTCTTATAAAAAACTATCTGATATAATTCTAAGAAGATTTTTGTAAGTTGGTAAAAATTATAGAAAATTTCTACGCAAATAGCTTCAAATATTTTCGATTTTAAAATTTGCGGACTATTTCATAAAAAAAAAAATATTACATTTTTAAACGTTGAAATTTCATCGAGTTCGTAACTTTGCAAATAAATAACAAATTTTTATTTTATAAGTCGCTAAATATATTTCATATTATTTATTTAGATTACGTAATCGCTGTCGATTAATAAACTTTCAATTCATACTTTTTTTTTTCAAAAACTTAAAGTTTTTCATCAAATTTCAAACTTCTTATTTTATGTTTTACAAATGATCAAAATTTATATTTAACGGGATTTTGACAAATTTTGATAAATAATTGTTTTTTTCCTATTTTTAAAATGAATTCACCATTTGCTATATTGAAATATATAGCATTATATAATATAATATATCATTATATATTATTATATAATTATAGTATTATAGTCGATACTATAGTATATGATGAAAATTCAAGATTTATACCTCTTTAGAATCAAACAATATTCTGTATTTTCAATTCTTTTCCGGGTACAAAATGTGAACAAAAATTTTCCAAAACATTTAAAATGCTATCTTTCATAGAAAATAGCGTGAAAAAATGCTTTAAATACTTAATAATTAATAAAATACTATGCATGGAAGTTAAGTATTTTCGCCAAATTTGAAATGTTCTAATAATTTAAATGAATTTTCATTTCAGAAACTGTTGATCGTATAGACATAACTTCTATTTTAATTTCATTTAGAGGAATTCGAATTTACTAAATTTCTTATATATATATAAGAGGCTATTTCTTATATACAAAAGAGGATGTTTTCCTTGTTGAAAAATTATACAAAATCTTAATCTTCATTTTTTAAATTAAAAAATTTCAATGACAATTTATAAATTATAAATATAATAATAAGAACCAATTAATTATATACATCTATAATATTTTTGATGATCCACACCTGTTTAATTAAATATACTTCTGTCATGGTAGTTATTTTTTTTTAAGTTTTATTTTCATTAATAATTAAGAGAATGTAAAGTTCTTAAGAATGTTATTCTTTGATGGAGAATTTTGTAAATTTAAAAAATTAACATTTTCTCCAATTCTTTAAAAATTTTATCAGGAAAACGAAAAAATTTATTTATAAATTTTTCTACAGCAAAACTATCTTCTTGCATTGAAAAACAAAAAAATGACTATAGATATAACCCAAGTTTTTAAAAATAAAATAATGAAAAAATCATGCTTATGTAATTAATAATTCTGAAAATAAAAATGCATTTACGTTATCAACACGCGATAAAATTGGCGAAATTTAACGACTTTTTTGAATAATATTAAGTACCGAAATCTGAAAATTTTTGTTAAAAATTCCGATCCAAATTAACTAGTAAATTTTTGTTCACCTTAAATACATTCTTTTTCTGTATACCACAGACAGAATATAATATCGATATATAATTACTTTTGTTCTAATTGTAAATTTTAATGCTAAAAGCAACAAACGTAGCACAATTATAACAAAAATATTTATAATTAGATCCGCAAATTTTAATGATATGTTACATTATAAACTAAATTAAAAACAAAAAAATTGTCACACGAAACGCCAAGCAGCATGACATTAGTCACGATGCTTCATTCCATAAAATAAATTACATATAAAATGAATAATACATTAAGAAGTATGATAAAGAAATACTAACAAATTTATCTATTAGCTACGGGATAAGTTTCCAGTCATTCCTAAATGCAGGCATATTGCATATACTAAGTAATAATTTTGATAAAAATACAACCTACCAGAAACTAGCATTTCAAAATTAACAATCCTATATGTATATATATATAGAGAGAGAGATAAATAGATATAATATAATAAGGGCATGTATCGATATTGCATAATAAGAAAGTAACCTTAATTATTCATTATTCAAATCCATATTGTACAAAACGATTTACCTAACTCGACAACATTAAAGTACTCACAGCTTTTCATTGCACAATAAACTCGTTTCAATAAAAAAAAAAAAAAATAATTACACGATTAAACGAAACAAATAACGACACATAAAATTAATTTTAATTTGTCAAGAAGATTTCTAACCTTTAGGCATAAACACAAAGGAAGTATCAAAAGCCAACTGAAAAACGTGTAATACGGAAGCGAGAAGTACCGAGTATCGAGGTACCCATAAAATAAGTTTTATTTCGAATAATGCGTCAAACTACATACTAACAAGTAAATATTAATTTGATAAATGAAACCACCGACAACATTGTGTACGATATTCAAGGTTTCTCCCATGCAGATCTTGATACGGTGTCAGGTGAAACATGGATGGTTCTCTGAGAACAAAAAATGTATAGTTTGTCTAACTAAGACTAAACGTTGAAATTCGTACAGCATTTATTACGGTATTAAAATAAAACTTATTTTATAAAAATTATTTTTTAGGATTTAAATAAAACATATTTTATAAGTATTACATAAAAAATTATGTGAATTGGAGTATACGTTTAACTCATATATAATTTAAATATCTAATGTTGTGTGATGTTTCATCTAAACAATTAAACGTTTCTTCAATTTAAAGAACAAAAATGAAGTAATAAAAGATCGATGGAACTACAATATACTAAAATAAACATAATAGTATTCGTTACCGATATCATCATACAACGAGCAGATTGCGAGTAATTTGAAGTCGTCAAGTCAAAAATGAGTTATATACACTCCATACTCAAGGAATGTGATTGCACATTTAACACACAAGATGAAACATATCAAACATAACATCGAAAATACGTTTATACATACAGGGCATTTCATTTAATGTGATCACATATGATATCTCAGTTTTACTAATATCAAAAAATGATTTCACAGAAAGGTGACAAATAATTGACAAACTATTCTTATACTTTTTAAAATTCAAGCTTGTCATCTTTGGAAATGGTATTATTAACTCTTCATGACACGAAATTATAACTGATACAAAAAACTTCGTTAACTCTATGACAATATAACTCTCAAATAACTTTAAAACCAAGATTTTAAGGCAGATTAATCTTCATTTTATCCTTAACTATATTAGTGCAGTATGTAAAATAATTCATACCCATTAAGAAACACTTAAAATTCTTGTGTATTACAATTTATATCTCTAGTCCGTTAGTCACCTGGATATAAACAAATCGCCGAAGGTCGACAGACAAGGAACACTGAGAGTATCGCGATATGTATCTTCTGAGAATTTTCGTCTAAACGCTTCTATAGACAATATATGTATAGTTAGTTTGAGCAATATAACAAGGTCGTAAACGTAAAATCAGTGGAGCGTAAAAATCGGTATCCTCGTAGAAAAATGTTTTTAGAATGAATACAAATCTGTATGTTATATGAAAACTTATTTAGTATTCTCATCAATTCAAATATTCAGTACCAACATTTTATATATATGTCTATATATTATTTAACTTTTTTAAAGAAAACATATTTTTTTTAAAAATACATACTTTATTAGTGTTTCCTCTTTTTCAAATTTTTATCAATTTTAGCGCATTTAGATAGTATTCATCTTTATTTGAAATTTCCATTTTAATAACAATAAGCCTTGATTAAATGTTTATGTACATATGTTTTTGAAATTCCCATAATTATTTAGTTCAGAGTAAAATTATTTAAATCAGAAATAATATCCAACGTAAGAATTAAAAAAAGAAAATAATATCAAGCACAAAATAGTGAAATATTTTTGTTTACAATGTCAAGTGATTTATGATTATGTCTATTTTTCAGTCTAATTATTCTACGTTGACATTATGTTGACATTATTTTATTAGAATAAAAAATATAAAAATAGATCTAATTCTAAATTTTAGTTTGTAGGTTATATTGTTCACAGTGTTGAATTTATTTTTGCATCAGCATAATTTTATATAGCTGAAAATAAATGATTCCGTTTAAAAGATTGATTATAATCTCAATATAGAAATAATTTGTTAAGCATAATATCAAATTCTATCACCTTTTTCTCAATCAGGTTTTTGTATATTATAAACAACGAAGATATTTTTGGTGGTCACGTTGAACGAAACACCTTATATATAACAACTAACGATGTCAGTCATCGAATATACACAATTCACTGAAGTATAGTCTACTTCATTATTGGTACTAATTGTTTTCTCTAATTCTCTAGATTTTTCTAGATTTCTCTAATTGTTAACAATTAGTTAACAATGCGTAGGTTAAAAATTAAGATGGAGAACTAAATTTTAATACACTCTAAATAAGTTTCAATGCTTTCAAAAATTAATTAAATATTGATACAACAATTTTAACAAAAAAATGTTGATCTCACCAAAATGATGTAACATTATCACGTCTGTACCATGTATTTCATTTTCTATATAAAAACTAATCTCTTAAACAAGACAATTTTATGTTACAAATATATAAAAAGTTAATGTTATTTACAATTTCCAATGACCTGAAAATAAGAATAGTAGGCAAAAATCAATATAATTAATGTGTTTCATTTTCATTGTTCCTAGAATGATGATTTCTTTGTGGAAAATATGGAAAAAGTCATTAAATAAGTTCCTAATATCAAAAATTATTAGTAGTGTGCAAATTGATACACATTATCTCCTTATAAATTTTACAATTTTATAAACATTTGTAATTTTCAGGATTAAAATAATCTCTCAAAACATTGCTGCTTGCTGTCATATAACGCGATTTCCAATAATATTTAACTCTTATATACCTCGATTTCCCCCTTTATCATTCCAAATTTAATCGACATAACCTTCAATTAATGTCAGTAACGATAATTCCTGAAAAATAAAAAAAGAAAAAAAAAAGAACACAAGAAGGAAAGATAAACCTGCCGGCGAAACCGAGTGTTGAACGTGTACATAATATTTTATCGATTCTTTTCGGTTCGCATAAACGCAAAACCTCGGACTCGCGGCTTTGATGTTCAGCCATACCTTGTTAATAGTTCTGAAGGCCAGGAGGATGGGAACGTTGATGACTATTCGTCGTGGTCGAGGTTGTGATCGAGGTTGAGGTCGAGGTCGTAGTCAAGATGGTTGTCGTAATGGAAGTTGATATCGGAGTCAAGGTTGAGGTCGAAATGGAAATAGGGACTCGGCGACGTTGGGATTCGGTAGCCGTGTTGTTCTGCTGGGACGAGTTAGTATGCCGGTGTGTCAGATTCGCGGTCGTCGCCATCGGTACATCACTGCTCGACTGGTTGCTGTTAGTTTGATTGCTGTTACTGCTGTTCATTGGCAGTAGCATTTGACCATCTCCGTGTGCCGAGGACACACCGTAGCTTCTCAGCCGGTATTGGCGCTGTTGCATCGAGGGACAGCGACTCCTAGCAAAAGTACTCCTTCGTTGCTGCCCGCTCGTGGTACTGCGTATATGAATCCCAGGCTTTCATCAGTATTTTCGTTATTCCCTGCAAGGACCTGTACACGGCTCTTCTTTCGAGAGAGCTTTGGCTTGGTATTTGCCTCACGTTGCGGCATTCTCTCGTATTCTATTCAACTTGTACGCATCATTAGATATAATCATACGCGTTCGTTAATTTAGCAAAATAATCTATATTTTGCTCTTTTCGATTTACCGTGTTGTTCGTTCGGAATATACAGGGTGACTCGTTTTCATCTATGAATTATAATATTCCGAAAATTGTGTTGGATTTAAAAATCTGCTTTGGGAGTATAAAATGATACGTATGTATACTGTGTATACTATGTATACTGTGCAGAGGTGAAAAATTGATTAGCTGGATGACATGGGAGTAAAATAAATTACCTGCTCCATTTGTTTGACTATTCCAAAAAGCCTATGACAGATACTATAGTGTCCGCATATATGACAACGAATATAGCACTTATATATTCATGGTTTATCCTTACTAATTTTTAGTATTGTTGGTTCGAATCTCGTCCACTTCGTGGCTTCGCCAACTCGTCTTTGTCATTTTTTTGACGATGATGTCAAATTAACTGTAAGTTGGTCGAGTGTCAGTATATTCTGTTTAACGAGAATTGGCAGGAAATATAAACAAAACGGTCACGTGATCGATGCTGCAGATAAGTGGCTGTTGAATGTGGAAGCTCAGAGTCAACTTTTAAATATCCGAAACAGGGGCCCTTGCGTACAAGACCTATCAAAATTTTCCTCGAAATATTCAATTTTACGTCTGGATCAGCACGGGTTCAGGTTTGATGTTTCAGTCCTGGTCTGATTACGCGTAACTCATGTGCAGCTGTTTATTCTCGTTAAACGGACTATAGTGCAATTATAAACTTCTTTCATTATCGAATTTTTGTAAATAAAAACCTTGATAACATATTAATAAGATTTTTCTGACAAAAATGAAACCAACCACGACGTGGAAGATAAGTTATAATATATAACTATTGTTATTGTATAAATATAATATAATCCATATAAATATAATCCAAATTATATCAGAAAAATATAATTAATGTGTCTAAAATATTTATACGAAGAAAGAACCAAAAATAAAAAAGGTTTTGTAGTTGTATTAGTATTATCTTTCATGGATATTTGAAGAAATTCACATCTTCGGATATATGACCAGATACGTTTGCAATCGTTGTCCATATATCTGGACACGACTGTAATGACATAATAGTAGAATAAATTATAATGGTATATTTTTTATCCGATGGTTTCATCACTTAATTTTCGTTAGCCTTTTTCTTATCCTTGCACACTGCAGGCATTAGTTTATTAAATATGGGCGTTATGATTATTTCAGGTCAGTTATACTTCTATACTTCAGTAAGGGAAGAGACTTAAGTAATGAATCATAAACATCGATCTTTTTCTAGAATGAGAACTTTGAACCCGGTTTTTTAAAATTGGAATTTAGAAATTAGCATACAACATAACTCAAAAAATAATTAAACCATTGAGTTGATTCAAAACATGCACATTCACATAACTAAGTTTGTCACTGAATGAACTATCTTTATTCATAACATTAATTATTGAAGCTATGTCTATTGGAAAATAAAATTAAAAATTTAATATAAATATCATTTCTTTGTATTCAAAGACATATTATCATCAATTTTGCATTTTTTTAAACAGGATTTTGATCTTTCCGATGCATAGTTCTATTATGAAAAAACGCCGTTTGATTTTTTGTTCAAATCAAATAATTACCTACTATCAAAGGATCACATATTTCCTACCCGGCAAACATGTGAACCAATTTTCCCAGAAACAAAATTTTATACCAAAAAATTTAATTGTACATTATCGTTTTATTTTTGTATCATTCTAAAATCTTTTCCTTTCAATGATATTTAATAATTGCTGTTCACGCTTTTTCATCAAATAGAATGTCCCGTGACACTGTAATGTGTTATAGGGAAAAGAAGAAAAACGAGAAAAATGGTATAATAAAAAAATGGATGACGTATTTTCAGGTCTCAAATGCTGGAATACTAGAGTTTAAATCAAAAAACGAGTAAAAACCTTAAAAAAACATATTGTGATCCACGAGTATCCCTTCGGTGTGTAGAAAATTACACGAATGTAAGAAAATCATTACAAATTATCTACGTTTTGTTATCATATCTTTCAATATGATAACGCTATGCTTTATTATGGTAAAGAAAAAATATTTTATGTATCATTTAAGAAAATTCAACTAACCTGAAATAACCTCAAAGTTCACGCTGAAGTACTAGTGGCGCCACTTATCTCATTCAATTCTCTCAAAGCATAATTTTCAATTCAACAAATTTTACAAAATATTATTTATAGATTAAAATGGATCAACCTATACAAAGGAGTAAATCAATTATAAATGTCGTCGCAGAAGTTCAAACTTTTATATGTAATATTTACTGTAATTTTATTATCTTGTATTAATTTCATACTTTTTTATCACAATTGCATGCAAGTTATATATAAGTTATTCTCTACCTCTAATGAATTCTGAATGGATTTTTGCTAATTAAATCACAATCATGTAACTACAGATATAGACGTTTAATTTACGATATATTCATTTTATGCAAAAAAAATAGTATGGAAATCGAAAATCAGTGCAATTTGTATTCGTGGAATTTCTGCGTCGATTAAATTAATATTCAATGTCGTAGTAGAATATTGAATAGAGTATCGTATGAACTTTATAATTCTATGTCGTCGGGAAACTTCGCTATTTCGATATCAATTTACTTACTGTAGCGAACCATTTTTTTTCAATAATAGATGAAACGATAAACTAAACTTTCAATTCATCTATTTGCACCACTCTTTATTATGCTAAAGAACACATTTAATAAAATATACGGTACATTAAGAATAAAGTGAAAATTAAAACGTGACATATACAGACACGAGAGACGTCATGCTTTCAATTGAAAGAAGAAGCAATTGCCGTAAAGAATCAAGTGATCTTATATCCAGACACACACTGAGACTAAGATTGTCACTGCATGCAACATGTCATGCACTTCTTCATATTTTTTATTTGTCACTTGTAGAAAATTCATCTGAAAATGCTAAAAGTTAGTTTCCATGCAAAGAAAATACCTACCAAAATGTAAAGAGCATAAGAGATTCAATATATTTTTACATTTTACGTTTTTCCAATATATTCAGTTAAATGACGACTTTTTTATTCATTGTATCGCAGTTAATAATAAGCAAATTGTCAAAAACTAATTATATAATAAAACACGGTTAATATTATTCGTTTACTATCTTATTTTTCATTAATAATGCGAAATAATTCTTTATATTTTTAGTAACAAATTTTGAGGTTATGATATCGCGGTTAAGAGAAACAGATGAATTTTCGATGTAAGGTAACATACAAAACGAAGGCGATGTATTTTCTTACCTCGAACTGTGACTCATGAGGACTATGTTTCTGTAACAGCATATAATGGATCCTGATTGTTGGGAAGCGAGTGATGAAGTGTTGACGTCGATTCACACACAACACAACAAGCAGCTCAAGCAATTTTGTTGTATTTCTTATGTAACTGAATGTTCCGATTCATATTGAAAATAATATTAATAAACTCTGATCGTACAAATATCCGAGTATATTTTACATTTCTGAAGTTTGGGGTTACGGAAGAAAAGAAACACCGAAACCTATATATATGTATATTCGTATATTGCTGCAATTGAGCAATACCAATCAAAACAAATTAATATTGTAAAATTTATAATATCTTTCTAAATATTTAAACCCATCGGAAGTTATATAAAATTCCTCAAATTTATACACGAACTATAAATACATAAACTTTTTATATTTTCAAATTTTGGTAGAATTTTCAATAAAATTCAACGTGTTGAACATACAAACAATATTTGTCATGAAATTTTTTTCTTAGAAGTTTAAATTATTTTTTATATGAAATATGTATGGAACACATATATAGGACCATACATGTAAATAGAATTTCATTAATGAAGAAAATCTTGTGTCTTTTACAATTCATTTTATCCTTAAGCTATTGAACAAGGTATCGTAGGAAACATATCTGAAGTTATACACAATTTTAAAACCAATATATAAGTGCAGCAGAAAGCAATGTAAAAATACAATATTAAAAATATTCTTGTAAATAATTAAGTTAAGTCAAAATACAAATTAGAAAATGAACGACACAAAAGGAATCTACAGAGTTTTTAATTAATTGCAAATATTCTTTTCTTTCTAATTAATATGATAAAAAATAAACTAATAATAATTGATGAGAAAAAATTAATTGCTTTTTTCATTTAATAAAGTAATAAATACAATATTATATTACTTTAATTTATTATTTTCTTTTAAATAATTTTTATCCTAAGTATGTTAAGGCAGTGTTATCCATAGAATTATTTTACTCAATTGCATACAAAATTTTGTATAAAATTATATTAAACATGTTTACTTTTTCTATATATAGAGTGTCCAATTTTAAATTGTAAATACGAGTTATTCGTAAGTTATCTACTGTATAAAAAAATAGTTCAGGTAAAAATTGAATAATTTCGAAGAAAACATAAGATAATATGATTAATATTTTTGAAAGCGGGTACGGAGGTGGCATGAAAGTCAACTTGGTTTTTTTTTATGTGAGATCACATGTTTTTTAATACATTACACGATACATTTGCTACAAAAAAATATTAACCTATAAGTATTATTTGTTTAAAAAATATTTTAATTTAAATATTGCCATGAAACCATCATGCTTTTATTAATGTTAGATAGATTCTTATAAATAAAGCTAATAGTAATAAGAAAATAATTTGTATCTATCGATTAAAATTGGACACCTTATATATTTAGAAAATAATACTTTTTACTTATATTTATATATCTATTCGAACACGAAAGTATTTGAACGTTTATATTAGTCATTTAATTTTTAACAAATGTTATTACTTATTAAATTCAAGTATTTAAAGAAATATGGGATATACAGCAAGAGATAAGTCTCAAAATTATATTAGTAAATTTGAAAAATAATACAATATATATAGATACTAAATTTACCTACTTACAGTATTTATAGTACTTTTATTACATACATACATACACCATTGGTTGGTCACAAGAAATATTTGATGCATAGCATATAATATAAATCAAAGGTACTATTAATATATTTGCAATTTTCTCATAGATTAATATGAGTAAGATAGATTATGTAAATATTTGAGTATGGAGGTTGAAATTCTAAGTTCAGATTTTCTTTTCATTTCGGGTTCTAGATTCATGTTCATTGTCATATTTCATTTTTCATAATAATTCAAATTTAAGTTTATGTTATGCTGTGATAAAAATTATTATAAATTATTATTAACTTAGGTTATGTAAGAAATTAGTTTCCAAACCTAACCAAAACTGTAGAGTTTTTCAAATCCGTAAGGAACGAAATAAAGAAGTAAATAATAACATATTTGCAATTTTCGATTATATATTTCAGTAATTTCGATTATAAATTTCAGTTATACATTTACATATATATTTAGATAATTTGGAGAATATTTACAGTTCGGTAATATTTTATTTTTCTAATATTGAAAACTAAAAGATTGAATTAACAAAAATTCTGTCATTAATATGAGAATAAAAATTATAAAATATGTTTTAAAATATCAAGTTTGTAAGAAACTATGATAATTATAAATAAGGTGAATTCACCACAAAATAGCTGTTAATACATTAACTGGAAAAGCTGCTATGAGGACTTTAAGGCGATTTTCTATTGAATGCACTAATGCCTCAATGAATCGTGTTTGTAATAAATGTACTGTGAATAATGTGTACATATATATCACTGAATTATTTTCTAATTTTACTCATACAATTTTGTACCTTTCAACTTGCTATATACATCGTGAATCAATAAAAACTATTGACTAAAATTATTTGTCATCTATTGATTGTTTAAGAAAATTTATCAAACGCATGAAATATGATATTTTATTTTACATTTTCTGAGATATCAAAGTGATTTTTAATTTTTTTAAAGTTAATGCAAGTTTTTTTAGCAGATGAAAAAGTAAATTTAACGATTTATAACAATTTAATTTTCAGTTGCTAAATTTATATTAAAAGTAAGTGATAAACTAACACTCAAATCCGCTTTTCTTTATATTTTTGTTGTTGACATATCTTAATATGAAATTAAATACATATATATGTATGTATAATAATTTTAATTAATTTATTCGTCATTCTTAATTTAACTGTCATTTATAATTTATTATTAATAATAAATATGACATATTTATATATTTATGAATAAATTATTTTCGTTAATAAGAAACTAATTAAATATTATTTTACTCTAAAGAACTTTTAAGTCGATAACGTTTGGTTTCTTTTTACGTTAATAAGCATCAAAACGATGTTATTAAAATTATTAAAAAAATCAATTATTGTCACTTTAGAAATTTTTCACAATAAAGTAGGGTCTTCAAGTAAGTTCATCATTTATAAAAACAAATTTTGACTGACCTAATAATAGATACTAAATAATCTCAAAGAAGATTAAAATTGCATAATAAAAAAAATAGAAGAAAAAAAAAAAAATAATGAAAATAATTGTGATGGTCATGTTAAGTGGATTACCTTGCATATTACAAGTGAGCATTAATCAATCTAATATTTTTATTATTTCATATTATTAGAATCATCAGGTCAGTTAAAATTCCCTCATGGATAACACTGCATTAAAAATACATTAAATTTTAATAAGATTTGAAAGTTGCAAGAATACTTCATGAAAATAACTCACTTTTATAATATTTTATTTTCAATTGTTTACATTAAACTGCATATTGCAAATTTATGCAATTGTGCATAAAACTTTTAAATATAAACAAGCAAAATGATATCAGAAGTGGTACATAAATTCAAGTTTTAAACAGACTGAAATTCTTTGAACACGATAAATCGTGATATGTACATAACAGGAACTAAAAATAATAACATAATAATTTTTTACAGCAATAATAAAAAATTATAAATATATATAACGTATAAAATATAAAAAATTAATTAGTTAATATAAGTGTCATGTGAACAAAAGTGTTAGATAAAATATATTATATAAAATACGACTTTTAAATAAAATTTAAAAGGAAAAACAATTGCAACATATACAATTAAATTTAACACCAGATGATTCACCTAACTTTCAAATCAACTTCTAAATTATAAGCTCTCCTCAAATTCGTTACACACAAAATATAAACAATTTTCTGATAAGTATCACGTAGTCTACATAAACATATATATTTTCAAGTATAGCCACTGTGAAAATTTAAAGACCAATTTATATTATATTAAGCTCTGAAAAATATACATTCTACGTTAAACTACTAACATTAAAATAATTTAAAAATAATAAAAATAATTTTGCATCTAAAAAATGAAATTATTCTCGAAATTGTTGCAGTATCTTTATTTTCAAAAATAGTAACTATTACTAAATAATAACGAAAACTATTAAAATAGTATATTTAATGTAAGTTTTCCTGATAATCATAAATTTTATATGTGAATAATAATTGTTCACGAGACGATAATTTAGAAGTTATATATGGCATACATAAATATAGTGAGATATGCAATAGAAAAACAAATATTAGAACAAAAATATAAATAATTCAAAGAGAACTACAATTTTAGGGTTATATTTTTTTTACAAATTCAACAATATATAAGTATCTTATAACTGTATCATTTTTTTAATTAGAAACATAATATGCTTTTTTTACATAAACCAAATTTTTTCTCAACACTAATAAAAAAAAGTATTACAATGAAATGGTAAAATTAAAAAATAACTAGTTTATAAGATATTTTAAATAATTATGATTGTTAAAAGAAACGTGCTTAAATATTTCTATAGTTGTTTCTGAATTGTTGATATATTAATTCTGTATTATTTTTATAGTGGAATCTAAATAATCTCTAGTCATTGTTATGTAATATAGATTTATCTGTTCTTTTTAACATTTATTTTAAATATAAAATATAATTCAGTTTGAGAATCTCATAAACTAATTATATGTCGACTATTTTACACTACTTTAAATACACTAATACACAGAATAATAAAAGAATTTAATCAAAGCAAAATAAAAAATATATGTTCCTGTTAAAAGAAGTGATAGTTTTAAGATAAGAATTATAAAATTATTAATTATAAAAGTATCCAATCATGTCATCTATTTAGTATATTTTATATAAAATTATAATAATAAGTTATGTTACTAAAGAAGAAAATATTTATTTTTTGAATAATTAATGATTCACTCATTAATCGATTTTCAACAAAATATTTATTATTTAAGTCTGTGTTAATAGTTCGAAAAATAAAATCGTATACATGTATATTAAAAATCGTAATT